GTACACTTACGACACCACAACTGTCGACTTACGCCACATCGCAACGTTTGTATACATACCCAGAATACGCTAGATTAGCTTGCTGTTTCTTCACCGATCAGTCTCGCGAATGCCGGGGGCGGAGGTGGGAATCTCGCTTTCTCGATTTTGGATATGGTGTGCATTGTTGTGTGGTGTGCAATGGGTTCACCGATCAGTTTCGCGAATGCCGTCGACCCCGGTTCGGCAGATTCTCACCGCACGTTCAAGTCAACGAGACGATATTTTCAAGCGAGCAAGCAAGCGGCATACATGGCGCTCGCCGCGACACGCGCAGTTTTGTCTCTGGTGGCAATGGCAAGTACAGCAGTAACCTGTTACGTCCAATGGGTTCAATCTGATTAATCATCGTAGTCAAGAGAAGGAAGACAGTAGAGCAGACATCACGCACTCGTCCGGTGGTTGACAATGGAAGAGGCAAGAATGAGGGTGATGAAGATACTACTGACGATCTAGACAACATCAAAAGACTTCGTTGCGAAGATCGTCGTCTTGCTGGCAGATCTCAGTGAACGCTGAGGTGCGAAGGCAAAGCCATTCACGTTACGCTCCGGCTGCGATTCCAATGACTCTATCATGAGCCAATGACAAGAAGCGGACGTAGAGCTGCGAGAGCGAAGTCAGTCACTTTACGTCCAGGCTCATCGAGGACAGTGGCTCCATGAAAAGCCAATGAGGAGTCAACCTGCAGCTCTTGCATACATCATACATCCCATACTCACTTTGCATGCGCCAACTGCAATATGGCCTATGGGTCGAATTTTCTCAAGGTGGACGATGATAGGGCCTCTCGTATGCTAGCTGTCGAGACTTTCACGCCGGGATTGACTGCGGACACACCTCAACATACTCCAAGTACATCCTGCAGTGCGAATATACCAGCCTCCGCGGTTGCCGACAGACTACTCACGGAGAAGACCGCAATAAGCAACTACTGCAGTCAGCTCTAGGCCTTTACCCCAGGTCTTTCGTCCACCAAGCGATGCTCCCGCACCGGTCAAATACTGCACGTCATGGTAGCGGGTCGTTTCGACCCATTCCATCCTGTCTGATCGGTCTAGTCTGCAAGTGCCGATGCGGCTTGCTCTCATGCTTTTGCCGTCGGCTTCTAGTCTTGCAGAACCACTCACCGGTCACATTGCGCGCAAGACGACATCAGGCGTCACCCTCACGACAAGATCTACCAGCGAGTAGGATGACCATGGCAAAGAGATGATGTTGATGACCATTGCAATGGGTTTCGATATAACTCACTGCAGTAGTCGTTACATACGGCCGAACACTAGACAATCAAGAGTCGCCCGTGCTCGTCGGAACGGCATCCTATCTATTGAGATTCAGGGCTTTTACATTTGAAGGTGGAGATAAATCAGGGGTTAGCCTGTCGTCCTTTAGCGTAATACCGGCTTTATCCCTGGTGCTTTGGGGATTGACAGACACCACGGCACAGCGGCAAAGCGAACGCGAAAGTACGCACGCATCGGAGCTTCACCATTGATTTAGACAAGTTTCGGAGTCATACTCGTCCAGTCATCTCCTGCCAGTTTGAACATGTCGATCCTGATCACGTCAACGGCCTACACCTGGCCAAACAGACGTCTTCAGATCTCAAGATGGTCCAGGGACTGGCGTACTCCCCACACAGTGGGTATATCGGCCCGCTTCTCGCCAGATTCCTCTGGTCTGGCCTCTCATGCTTCCCTTGCGTATCGGACCACGATGCCTTCAAGATAGATGATCTTTGACAAATCCCTCAACCAGACATGAACAACCCGGTGTCAGACCCTTTCCGTGTCGGTCCGCTTGCACATCTTCGTATGCGACATCGGCATACCGAACGTCGCCGACTCTACACGCCATGTTCTATGCGTCTCTTCACCGTTCAGATCCCAGGATGGTCAGGATGTCAGACTCGTGGCTAGATGACATTGGCTTCATTGAACGGAGTACGCCCGGCCGGTACTCTATCTCGTGTGGGTCCAGGAGCAAAGCCGAAGCGCAACTATCCGTCCACGTCTCGGTGCCAGTCATCAATACAGATGGGTGCAGCCGATGCGAATATGGCTAACCGTCGCTGCATCATGCCGGAGATCGCCCCAATATGGATTCCTTCGTTCGTTTTCGCGAGAAATGGTATCATGGAGGCGAGGTGAAAGCGTGCAGATGCGTGAGACACGCAGACGTCCTGGTCTATTATGCAATGCCGTCCCAGGAACATCTCCTGCATGTGGTCCTGGATCGAATAAACGCCACAGCCAAGTGGCGGCAACGGCGGCGGGGAACCTTCACACGTACCAGGTGCCAACAGAAAGTCGACGCGTTATCTCCTCCTCGTACACGCGGAATACAGCGCAAAGAATGTGTTCTCGACCGGCATACATAACCGACAGCTTTGTGTATGAAACGTATGAACCGAAGTTCGTCGATCGGTAGAGCGTTTGGTTCTCTGGCTTGCGTGCATGGCGCACGCCCCTAACCCCACCTTTTCCCAACGGTTCCACTTTTTGACCAGATCCGGCTGGAGATGTACAACCATTATCATCATAACCGCGCAGTGCGCGGCTGTCGTTATTATGCTCGGATGTCGACGCAATGACTCGAAAAGTTCTTTGGGACCGAGGCGGCGATTTGCCGGTTCAGCTGGCTACTAACGACCCACTGCCTATCAGCTGCCGCGAAAGCTGCGAACTCTATCGTCCCTCGCGACACGCCTTCCCGGCTGTGCTACTCAGCAGAGCAGCATGTGCACTCCTTTCGTGCCGCGTCTGCAACAGCGTTGAGCGTGTAGTAGCTGGCTAGTTGACCGTACATCTCGGCCACCACTCATTCATCATCAGCTACTGCAGACTGCTGCGAGGCGCCAGGAACCGAAGACTAGACACACGCTCGGATGGGGAAAGCAGAGCCTCCTACTAGCTGAATTCAGTTGTACTGGATACAGGATCGAATCATAAATCCGGTTGACGCCATCTTATGCAGGCAGGGTCCCACCGGCGTGGTTCGGGAATGCCAGGTGATGCAGGTCTCAACACAGCCGCCAACCGCACGTCAGCTACCCACCTTCAGAGTTTTCAGGAACGTCCGTCAGTGTGCAGAAATGCACAGTAGCCTGGCACGCGCTCGCCGAGCTCACCGGAGGATCGAAGTCACCTCATCAAAACGAAGATTGACGGACTGTCCTTGAGGCCAGTCAGGATTGATGTTCGCGTGAGCCGCTTGGAGCGCGGCGGTAGTCTACGCACGACCACATCCGGAAATACATCTACAAGGTTATTCATTGGATGCAGATTAACTTTACCCTCTTTGATGTGCATTACTCCGTAGTCTACAGAACTGTCCCGGCTGTGAGCGATTGGGTTTACCAAGTGGCCACCAGGTGTTCTTTCTTCGTCGCTCAATGCAGGGACCCAGCATCCGACCGAGCCTTGCATGCATGCAATACCAGGGGTTTCGTCACCCACCCCCTTCAACGTCGTCTGCATCGAGATGGAGTGGACCCATTTCCTCATATGAGGATAGATGCGTTCAGCGAAAAGTCTAGACTCGCCAATCGGGTTGCAGATCGGCTGGGGAAGGAAAAGTATCCCTGTATACGCTAGCTCAGCCACCCACCTCTTACCGAGTCTGAACGGAGTCGCTCTTCAGCGCCGGGAGCAGGGGCATGACTTCCCCGAAAGCTGAAATCTCACTAGCTGCCTAGTCTAAATCGTTCTATCCAAGGCCATTGTGCACTGGTATGACCACCCGACTTATTCTTGCACGCGACTGCGGCGGTAGAGCTAGTAAAATGGGACCCTCTGACAGTTCCGTCATCACGCACAACATGCTGCCTGGCGTGAGCGGGTACCACTTTCGCCTTCACCTGTGTGCCGGTGCTGGCGTAACCGACTGCTCTGTCATTAGTTGGAAACTTTCTTTTGTACAACCCTCCCGCTTCCTCATCCTACCATTGGTGAAGTCGTTTAGCTACTTCTTCCTCCTTTACTCGAACCAGGTACCAGAGCGATAGTACATACTACACCTGGTGCGACGTGAAACGCCACCAGATCACGTAAACTCACATTTCTACACTTCCTTTTAGTTGGCTTCTTAATCGTACATCTTGTCTCACCTGGGCCTCTCTTTTCACCATCATCCATCTTCCCACGCACTGAGCTTGACACCTCTTCACCACTTCTTATCATCCAAGACGTTGTGAGAGCACTCTTCCACAACTATGGACAGACCGCAAGTTTCGATACCACCCGTGAGTAGTACCATCAACATCGCATACAGCTCCAACCTACTGACCCCAAACGCTAGGCTGCGAATATCCTTGGTGTAGGTTTCTCTACTCCACCGACGTTTTTGACTTGAGTCATGATACTGACATACGATCTGGTTCTCTAGACCCTCGGCACTGGTGAGTACCTCCGAACGTTTTGTGGCTAAGGACTATGCTAACTTGAGTAAAGTGTATGCAACCCCACGTCAAACCCTTGACCCCACGAAGCACTTGCTAACAAAGGTCCGAATGCAGCTGCTGGTGTATACAAATCATCCCACAGTAAGTGTCACACGCATCAACATCGCACATGACAGTTCGCTGACTTTACCGAAGAATATGGACCAACTGGCGGCGGAAGAGCACCGAAGGCCTTCCGGGCACCATGCTGATACTCTGGTCAATTTGTGCGACACCCCACATGAACGAGCCCGTTCGACTCAGCTAACCACAGGATGCAGGCGGCGTACCGTTTGGTGTATACGCGATTGTTCAGGTATGCCATCACCCACCGCACAGTCCGTCTCCCCCTTTACTTACGTGTGATTAGAACTTCAACTTCGCCCTCAAATTCCAACCTCAAGCTTTCGCCAGTCTCACCCTAATCGCGTGGGGTCAAACACTCTACTACCACAACAAATGGCGGGTCTGGACAGCTACTCTGGCGACTATCGCTCTCGCAGCTAGCTTCGGTATCATGGAACTCATCCTCATTCTTACACTACGCGTAAGTCATCCGCCCATTCCATATATGTGTCCCGGCAAAAGTCACTAACGAATACTGTACAGGGGCCATACAGCCGCGGTGTCGAATGGCCCATGATGCTCATGGCCATCTCCGCATCCGTCATCCAAGTCATCGGCCTAATCCCGCCTTACTTCGAGCTCGCCAAGCGCAACGGCCGCGTCATTGGCATTGACTTCTGGTTCCTCACCATCGACTACCTCGGCGCCTTCTTCTCGCTCATGGCCGTCGTCGCGCAGCAATGGTTCGATGCTCTCGGCGCTAGTCTATACATCGCCTGCATGGTCCTCGAGACTGGTATCTTTGCTAGCCAAGCAGTCTGGCTATGGCGTGTCCGACATGTGCGCAAGGAAGCTAAGAAGGCGGGCAAGACATATGATGAATACGTTGCTGAGAATAGCGGCAAGAAGTTGCCGAGGTGTGGGAGTGAGGAGACGTTTGTTGATGTTGAGACGGGGTGTGAGAAGAAGACAACGATTGGAGGTGGTGAGTATGATGCTGGCACGGCTGAGAAGCTGGTCGAGAAACCATCCACGACCCAAGAGGAACGCGTCGATGCTACGGAGGCGACTGCGACGCCCGCATCGACATCAACGGCCACCTTAACGCCCATATTCACTTCGATGACAACAGCACCATCACCCGACGCCGTCCAGGCTCCCCCACCTGCCGTCCTGAAGAACGACACGTCCGGTTGAACACCTCTTTCTGTATCGTCCTTTTCCTTTGGAACTCTTGCACGGCGCTGCACCTACAATTTTCCGACTTCTTCATGTCCTGTACGATACCTCACGATGGCAATCACGGCGTACCATCTTTCCTTTCCTTTCCTTTCTTTCCTCAATCTGGCGACGATGGTTAAAAGCTCTTCCCGCTCCTCCTCTGGTAGGAGGTCAAAAGCTCGTTTCCTTGCAAAAAGTTGAAAATCACTTGGGTGGCTATCTGCTATGGTCTATGGTGTTACTTGGGGATAGGGATAAGTCAAACTGCTGACCAGTGTGCGTTGGCATGGCACGGCTTGTACGAGTAGGAGTTTAAAACTAATAACATGGTTGCTCTAATAGTGCGGACCTTGGTTGAGTTGCATTGAAGCTAAGGCTTACAATCGACACGTAATCTGACAATGCGCGATAGTCATACGGGCTAGTGAGATGTCTTTGCTCGTACGGTATTGGAGTGCCTGTTTATCTGACTACAGTTTGCTACTCTCTTCAATCCATTTCCTCCCCCCATCAAATGATACCAAGGGCAATGATCAACTCAACTTGCTACTCATCATCCATTTGAGCCTTGCCTCGCTGTTCCTTATTCTCAGGACCAGGTCGCTTAGTCGACACCGTACCTTTGAGCTTCGCAGTCTCAGCAACACCCTCACCCTTCTTGCTCATCTCGCCCTGCTTGGAAATTTGGGAGCTGTGGTGGGTGTCACCATTAGACAAACCCTCTTGCTTTCCAGACATGTAGTTGAAGCTCCTGGGTTTTCCGCGCGGATCGGCCTGTGGTGTTACTTAGCAATCAAGAAGTGGAAAAAAGTGTTACATCATGTACGAACCGGATCGGCTACATGTGAAGGTGCAGCCCCGTGACCCATAGCCTTCGGGCCCAACTCTTCATTTGGGTCCGGCCTGCCAGCACCAGGTGCGCCGGGATCGCCTTTCATAGTGATCTTGTGGCTGCGCATGTTTTCCTCGTTCTCGCCAGCCATCTTGCCTGGCATGGTTGGATGCGGCTGAAGATTGGCCGCAAGGTTCTGCTTTGACGAGGGACGCAGATCTGAATTTATAGCGAAATAAAGACCGCCGGTGAAGGCCATGGCTACACCTGCGAACTTACTAAAGATACACGTTATAGGAGGATCGGGATGAGAGTTGCGAAGGCATCAAAACGTACAATGTGAAATCGCTATTCTGCACCTTGGGAATGATGGGCTCGCTGGCATACTGCCTGCTCTGGGCGCCATTCCGCAGTGGATGAGGTCTAGCGCTACGGGAACATTTCGAGCCCTGTATAGTAGTGCCTGTAGCAGAGGCAACTCGCGGCTTTGTAAAGCGAAGTAGCGGCATATTGAATCACATAGATGTGTATACTAAGTGTAATGTGTGTGGAGGGAATGATTGGTAGTTTGTTTCCATCTCCCATGATATTTAGACAATTGGTGCTAGGCCAACATCAGGTTCCAAGGTTATCGTCAAAGCGCGCGATGTGATGCGTCATCGATTCGGCGGAGCCATCTCCGGGACATGAGTGTCGTGTTTAGAAATGGAAAAAGCAGTACGTGCGCCATGGAATGCATGAGAACGCATAAAAACGCGTTTCATCAGAGATGCATGGTAGGATGACGTCTTTGCGGGGTGCGGGCGCGTGTCTGGGGAATTGAAAGCGCCGGTTCTGGCTAGCGTGGTGAATACGTCATGGTTCGTTCGTGATGACCCATCAGCGACGAGCTGATTACAACTACTCAAGATACATACTCTATCTATACGCAACGGCTATCCCAGCTCTCGAGTATCACACGTTCAAGTGACATGTGCCGTCGTGGTAGGGTGTCCAATGAGCGATCTAGGCAGTGAATCTCATGGGCGAGCTAAGCAGCTCTGCCACACGACACGTACGAGCACCCTTCAACGACGACGACAACAACCCATGCACTCGTCTCAAATGTCTCAATATGACGAAAGGACATATTATGGCTGCGCATCCAACGAAGGCGAATCTAGAACTATTGCGACAGCAGCTCGTTCGCACGACGCTCAACACACTACCTCACACCGACGATACGACCACGGTTCTCTCACACGGCACGATAATTCCCCAACACATGCGGAATACAAGCAATTCAAAAACAGAGGTCGTCTCGTCCAATCGGGTGTCAAGCGTCCACGGGTACCTATCTTCCCGGCTTTCTCTTTTCCGCTCCGCCCCGCCCTACTCACTACTGCTAACCGAGAGGGTACGTCTTAGTAGAACACGGAAGAGCACGCTTTGTAGCTGCTTCCACGTACTGTATATGAAAAGAACGCTTTATATCATCTCAATGATACATGTTCATAATTATCAGTTTCCGTGCCGACACTAACGATACACTGACCAAAGCATCATTCCACCAGCATGATCTCGAACGAATTGTTCTCATCCCCAGGCCTGACGGCACCACAGCTGAAATCCTCTAGATGAGTCCACATTCTCCGTCTCGACTACTGGCATCGATGCCATGCAACGTTTCCCCGCTGTGCTTGTCCTCGATCGAAAAGGCCGAAGAGTTCCTCTGCGTCCGGGTGGCGAGACCATCAAATCTCTTCTCCCATCTCTCTGTTTTCCACAAGCAGTCACCTAACTATGGTCGTTTGCCTGTTGAATAAGCGCGTGCGTTGTCTATCATGCTCATTCGGCCCGTCCAAGAGTCTATTCATCCGCAACTGTCCGGAGTCCACGGAATCCGGTCGAGAGCATCGGTGTAACCATATAACCTTATCCTACATATATATAACGTTGCTTGCAACACAGACTCGATAAATCCAGAGTACGCGATCACCACGTCCGTTCTCATCACTCGCCAACACCATGGCCGCACCCGAATTGCAACTTTTCATATCCCCAGGATCTTGCGCTACGGCTGCATACGCTCTACTCATCGAGTCTGGACTTCCATTCTCGACCAAGGTCATCAACGTCTTTGAGGGCTTCCCCGTGGATGCTCTACATCTCAACCCGAAGGGTAGAGTACCCATATTGCACATAAACGGCAAAATCATCACGGAGATGCCAGCCATTATGATGGCTATCGCACAGCTCGTCCCCGACAGAAAGTTCCTCGGGGAGACAAACCTGAAAGCCGTTCGGTGCTACGAATGGTTCAGCTTTCTATCCGGAGAGCTGCATACGCTGGGCTACTACCCCGTCTTCCGCCCACACTACTTCATCGACGACAAGGCCACATGTGATGAGCTGCGGAAGAAAGGTCTTGAGAAGGTGGGGAAGTATTATGGTATGATTGAGGACAAACTCGAGGGCTTGCATGCAGTAGGAGATAAATTTACCGCTGCGGATGTGTATCTACTGCCCTTTTATCGCTGGGGCATCGCCTGGGGGTTTGCTATGAAGGAGAAGTATCCAAAGTATACCGCGCTTATCGAGAAACTGGTACAGCGGGAAAGTGTCAAGAAGGCGTGTGAGATAGATGGTATAGAGCCACTTTCCGCGGATCTGCTCAAATTACCGCAGTTGTTGGTGAAGTAGTCGCAGGTTATGCTTGAGAGTACAGGAGATCTAATACACAGCGCATAGCCTTGCACTGAGTGAATTCTGTGCAATGCCCGGGGATGTATTGAAAAGTACATGTAACGCGAGCGATGGACGGGTTGAGAAACCTCAGTAGTACCATTTCCCTTCTTCGGGCTCTGTGACTGGTTTCGAAGAGAGCGAACAATGTCCGATACCTGTAACCACCTCATTCTCTGTAACACCCCATTGAACTTTGGCTAGGTGCGCATCGACATCGCCAGGTGGAGGGTGACATGCGGCGCTTATCGCAAGACTGCAAGACGCCACAACAGGCACCCTTATCTCCCTCTTTCTAAGACCCATAGCACCAATTACAGCCACCAACGCAAAGAGAACGAAGAGCAGAATTACAAGGCTTAGGGCGGAGAAGCCGACTGCTGATGTCGATGTCGCGAAGGAATTACGGGTATCACCGCTCACCGAGGGACTGAAACTCCACGTCTCGGTGCGAACGAGAAAGAACGCTTGGGACATTAACCAGTGGAGCGTAGCACTGATGACAAGGAGGGGGATACTCCATCTGTACGGCATTTGCAAGAAGTATGTGCTTCTTTGATGGCCATACGGCTGTGTGACTCTCAGGCCTTTCCTAGATGTCCCGAGGTTGTTCCACTCTTGGGCAGCAGCCATAGACGTACAAACTATGTTGATCCAGAAGTAGCAAAAGGATAATAGAACCTGCGGGACGTTGGAAAGCCAAGCACTCCATAGAGTAGCTGTTTCTTCGCTTACGGCAGGGTTCATGTAAGAGGTCGAGGACGTTCCCCATTTTGAGCGTGAGACTAGAGCGCCTGCGAGGGCGCCACCACACAGGAGTACGGAGAACACGCATCTGGATGGTCAGCCAAGCGTCTGGTGATGAAGTGAAGATACTTACGAAAACGCGTAGACTTTCGAAGCTACATCGTGGTATGGGGAGAAGTACGATCGTGAATACGGAAGCCAAGCGCCCTCCAATCGTAGATGAAGATGTTCGATCTCTTTGTTGCCACGATTGTTCCCAATTTTTGGAAGATCCTTTCTTGATATCATTCCCTCTCGGCTAAGTAGACACTTGTTGATTGTATGACGATCTCTTTGCTCCAAGAATGAACTGGCAGCGTCTCCCAAAGTGACCAGGTAAGCCGATCGATCTGTGATAAGCACCGAGAACATGACAGCAAGCTTGATAAAGTTGAAGCATGCTACCAGAATAAGGAAACGCTTGCTGACTTGCACTGTACTAGGCGTTTGGAGTTCCTTTTTGGAGGCGGCTTCTGCTACATGTAAGTAGACGCCGGTCTGAAGCTTGCCGTCTTGCCCAAGGTTTGAATAGTCGAGCCATTGAGGCGAGTCCGCGATGAGATCTCCTAATACCGAACGACCTCCGATGGAATCGGTTTCCACGTAGTTGCCGTCAACCTGCGAAGAAGTGGCATTAATCCGGAGAACCGCGAGATCGATAGCCACCCTGTCTATGGCTAGGAATAGATCGCCGTGGATTGAGTTATGCTCTTTGGAATATGGCTCATTCCACTGGTGAGCTGACAGGGACCAGTAATCTCCTTTAGTCCAGGTGTGGTTGTCAGTACTGTCAGCTATCTGCCTCCATTCTTCTGACGCAATGTCCATTGTTTTGATCATGTAATCATCTCTGTTCGTGATGACCTTAAACACTGAGGCGTTGTAGCTGATGAAAATAAGCTTGCGCAGTTCTGAGGCTCATCCGACACGTACAACATGTGCAACGGTGTTGATGATAATGCCAACACGAAGCAGAGGAATCTGCGACTCCACGGAATTGCTCGCATATTGCGATTACTCAGTCGACCAACATCAAGCCACTCTTCTCTTGCGTGCGCAGCATCCAGGTCTTGCCGTGTGGGGGAGTTTAAGACTTGCATGGTATAATTTGACGAGGATAGCAAGAGCGTGCTGAGTGCGTTAATGAGAACATGCAAAACGGTGTTCCACTTAGAGGCCTGCGCCTCATCTCCCTCGATGATCGTGGATATACCCTCATTATCATAGCCAGATTTGCTGGTTGCTCCGACGACGATAAGAGCGATGTTGCAGGAAAGGACGAAGAAGGACATGCAACAACCGAAGAGCACCCCCATGCGCCACCCATGGAAGCGACTTCTTCTCAGTCGCACGTCCCAAGCTTGTGTTACGTTCCTAATCCGGCGTGGAAGCTTTGGTAGTGTCCAACGTTGTGGCATTCTCAGCATAGTATTGTTGGACGCGGTGGTCTTGGTGTCCGTTGTGCGTTGCCTGCATGGGTCAGCCTTGCGTGCAAGACTCTGGTTTATGGATTTGCAGCTCACGCGATTGGGCCGCCTGCGTGAACTTCATCTTGCAAGGTCGACTTATTGTTACTCGAGGTGCTCCCGTGTAGCGAAGCTTCTGTAGTGCGCTGCTGCATGTGCATGAGTGGTATGGCATCGTCAGATTCCCCGTAGTCTACACGTAAAGGTGGGACAGAAGGTGCCGGCGAGAGGTGCGCATATTCGTGAGTCTTTGACATGCTTGGTAGTAATGACACTATTGAGAAGAGAAGAAAAGAGAAGAAAAGATGGAAGTGGTAAGCTTACGAGGGGCGAGAATGCTTATCGGTATGGCAGCATCTTGACAAGGCTGAGACCGCAATCGTAGTGGCTGTCTTGAAAACGGCCCCCCGTGTGCTTGCACAACCACTTTTGTGTTATTCTATTGGTAGGTCTGTATGGAAATATGCATGTAAGCCGGGCGAGGCTGAGTCTACGCGAGTGTGCATATTATGCTGCCTGAGCGTGCGGTACTCGACGAAGCTACGCGGGCTGTCGCACATGCTCGTCATGGCAGATGTTACCTATGTATTGACAATGACATATCGGGAGTAGTGTACGCTTAGAACGCGCAGCCCAGGTATCCGCAAGGTGGTTGACGTTGGTAGTTTTCGGGCGGGGTGGAAGAAGCTGGAAGTTGCGAGTTGATCGTGACGCGGGCACGTGAAACGAAGTTCCGCGGCTGTGACCTCATCAAGTCAGCACAGCCCTAACGCATCTCACCCAACCTTCATCCTTCCACCTCCACCCACGCGCACTCGAACCACTCACTTCGCATCGCACAAACACGACCATTGCGACAAATCCATCACGATGGGCGCACCGAAATACCAGAACGTGCCTCAGCGCGACTCGCTCGACGAGGCGGCGCCCGCGCCGTCATATTCGCAGGCGCCACCCAGCTACCAGGCGGCCAACGACCCCCAAGAAGCCCTCCTCAGCGGCGTTCCCCGCGGCGAAAACGACAACCTGCCCGATGACTTCAAGTTTGGCGGTGTGGTGGCAGAGGCGACACTGGACATCCGGATGGCTTTCATCCGCAAGGTCTACGCCATCTTGTAAGTATCCACGCCTCAAAGACATGTGTCGCACGCACTAATGCCATACAGGACCGCCCAACTCCTCGCAACCGCCGCCGTCAGCGCCCTCTCGATGATGTCGGAATCGTACAAGAACTTCATCCAGCAAACGCCGGCGCTCATGTGGGTGTCGCTGATCGGCTCCTTCGTCTTCCTCGGCCTCACCTTCTGGAAGCGCAAGTCGTACCCGACCAACCTGCTCTTCCTCGCCGGCTTTACCGCCATGGAAGCATATTCCATCTCCGTCATCGTCTCCTTCACCGACTCCAGAATTGTGCTGCAGGCCCTCTTCTTCACACTGGGCATATTCATTGCACTGAGCCTGTTCGCCTGCCAGAGCAAGTACGACTTCACGCACTGGGCACCGTACCTCTTTGGCGCGCTGTGGGTGGTGGTCCTGTTCGGCTTCATGTCCATGTTCTTCCCCCACAGCAGCTCGGTTGAGCTAGGATACGGCGTCGTGTGCGCGCTCATTTTCTCTGGCTACATCCTGGTGGACACACAGATGATCATGCGCCACTACCACGTCGAGGAGGAGATTGCGGCGTCCATCTCGCTCTACCTCGACATTATCAACCTGTTCCTCGCCATCCTGAGGATCCTCAACTCGCAGAACAACAACTAGGCGGGAGGAATAATAGCAGGGACTGTAGATTCACTTGGGAGAAATTGTACGGCGTTATGGGTATTGATATCACTATGATTGGAGCGTGTGGGTGAAGGAGCTGGGTATGGATTATCGTGCTCTATGTTACTTAGCTTTAGTTGTATAATACCACTTTTGCACTTCTCCTCCGTATCCAAGCGACGACCAGAAACTCAGCGATGAGATGCTATAGACAGTTCTTGAGCCTTCCATCTCATGATGGGCTTGACGCGCCATTATATCGCATGCCGCATCCAATAGCTATGCATGCATATCGGTCAGGCCATGGCGGGGTAGCACTATGGGGCTGCAGGGAGCGTGGGCGCGTTGATAGGTCGGGAGGGTGAAACGCCCGGACCCTTGATTTTCGGAGCACCAAGCTTCGTCGGCGGATGTCTTGGCAAACCGACCCTCGCAGGAACTCGACGATAACAGGTGCAGGGCCCGTGTTAGGGGCAGACGGGGACGAGACTGAGCTTCCATATAGGCTTGCCACCTCCTTTCGCTGGATGCAACACTGCGTCTCTTTGTTCGCGTTACATTCGAGGCGCATGCTGCAGTCGGGTTAGGCGAGGCCCCATTTTTGAAGTGGGCAGATTCGTAGCGCGCTCCAGACACAGCTCTTGCTACAGCGAATACTGCTAGCTCCCGCGACACCTGTCCAGAAATACAGGGAGAGCAATTGGACACGCCTGTGCCATCCTTCACCCAGACTCGCAGCTGGCACGCAGGAAAAGGTGCAATTCGCGTGGCCCGCTCAGGAGATTGTTGATCCGCGCTTGCCCCATCCATCTCTAAACCCTGAATATCTTTGCTTGGGACCACCACACCGCTCCCTCGACTCGACTCTGCCCGGGCGCATCGTGCTCTCCCCCGCCGAATCCTCGCCTACGCATCGACAGCCTACCGCGCCCATTCTTTCGCCTGTTTCGCTGCTCAATGGCTGTTGGTTGCTGAGACACGCACCCGCTTTCGTTCGCTAAGACGTGACTGTTGAGCGTCAATCACTTCGACCCATTGAGCCCACACGCCGCACTACACGCCGGCAACCGACACCGGAAACCGTCGCCGGGCTGCAAGCACTCTCTGGAATTCATTCCTCCGCCATTGGCTCCTCTATCGGACCGCCTCGAGACAGCGGGTATCGCGACAGCGTCGCTCCATCACTCTATCGCTCCCCACATTGGGGCATATTGCAACCAGCCACCATGGCGACGACACACAACGCCAACGGCGCGCTGGGAAAGACGCACACGGCGGACATGCAAGCGCAAAAGCTATCGACTGCGCCCAAGAGGCGGAAGATGCAGACAAAGAAGGTCGAGGATGAGGGGCTCATGGCCTCTCTGTGCACCCTCATCTGCGAGCACCAGATTGGTACGCTCTCGCAGACCCTCAGCAATACTGAGCACCACCCAGACTGACTCCCACAGGCATCTCCGTCAACCTCCTCACCCTCCTCGTCCTTACCCACACATTCTTCCCCCGCGCCCGCAGCCGGACCAACAAGTTCTTCCACATGTCGTACTACAACCCCGACACCAACATGTACGGCTGTGGCACCGACGATCTGCCCTTTGTCCTACTGTGGACCGTCATTTTCACTGGTGTACGCGTCGCAGTCATGGAATACTTGCTCGACCCGCTGGCAAGGCTGGGTGGTATCAGGACAAAGAAGGGCCTGGACAGGTTCAAGGAGCAGGCCTGGTTGATTGTCTACTACACCGCGTCGTGGTCCTTGGGAATGGTACGTCACACAACACAGAATATATGGAATGGGAGTGCTAACAAGGCTACAGTACATCATGTACCACTCCGAGTTCTGGCTTGACTTGCACGGCATATGGGAAGGCTGGCCTTTCCGTGAGGCAGACGGCCTTTTCAAGTGGTACTACCTCGTCCAATGGGGTTTCTGGGTCCAGCAGCTTCTTGTCGTCAACATTGAGGAGAAGCGCAAGGATTACGCGCAGATGTTCACCCACCACATCTTCACCACCGCGCTGATGTGCTTGTCCTACGGCTACTTCCACATGCGCGTCGGAATCGTCATTCTGACCATCATGGACTTTGTCGACATCATCCTACCGGTAAGCAGCCTTGACTGGCCAAATGCACATACGGGAACTGACCATTGCAGACCGCAAAACTCCTCAAGTACATGGGCTATTCGAATGCCTGCGACTACGCTTTCGGTCTCTTTGTCATCGCCTGGGTCGTTACCCGCCACGTTCTCTACATGATGGTCTGCTGGTCCATCTACGCCTACGCCCCCGTCGACATGGCACCGGGTTGCTACCTCGCCGACTCCACCTCGAAGTACACCTCGTTCGTCCCCGCATCCAATACCTCACAGTTTGAAGCATACGGCGGTAACAACCACTGGGGCAACCTGCTCAAGGCGTACAACGATCGCAACGGACCCATCTGCTGGAACCCGCAAATCCGATACTACTTCCTCGCGCTCCTCCTCACCCTCCAAGTCTTCTGCTGCATCTGGTTCGCTACCATTGCGAAGATCGTCTACAAAGTGCTCATGGGCAACGCAGCCGAGGATCTGCGCTCAGATGACGAGGGCGAGGACGAGGAGGTCGAGCAGGAACAGACCAAGACTATCTTCAACATTGCGACTACCTGCGGCGAGAGCGGTATGAGCTCCATGACGCCCAAGGAAGAGGAGGTCGGCGTCGATGCCCTCACCTTTGCGCGTCTCAACGGCGCCAGCCAGCGCCGACAAGCAAAGAGGGAGAGCTCGCGCGCAAGTGGGATTAGTATTCCCGGTCATGGCGATCGCAAGGAGCTACTCGGTCGTATTGGTTGTGATAAGCCTTCGTAGGCTTTTGTGGCCACGGCCACACAGTTCTTGATATTTCCGAGTGCGTTACGAAAAGTCTCGCGGGCGTCTGTGGCGTGATAGAGCATATAGTCCTGGGTTCTTCATTTCTTTCCATCGTTCTTGGAAACGGGTGTATAGGCTTCGAGGGAATATACCACCATTTGGCTTGGTCGATGCGTGGTTCCGTCTTTTGGTTGATGATCATATGTATACCCCCAGAAATCGAAGTTAGAGTGTTTTCTTGAGCTGGTTCGTTCTCTGGTGTGTGCTATGGGCGTGAAGTACGGATGATGTTCGATGACGGGGCGTGAGCACCACGTTTACGCAGTCCGCTCTACACCTCGGCACATGGCTAGTGTGAGTGGGATGGTGGGGCTGATGTTCACACATCATGAACGTTGGTCCGACTACCTAGGTACCAACCAGACTTCAAACGCAACACGTGTTGTGAAGGCTCCCCCTTGCATTAGCAGCTGTGCCGCCGTTGACATATGGCACCCCATATATTTCGACTAAAACCGTTCACAGTACCAGCTGTTCACACCAAATAATCCGCCAACCTCTATATAACCCCCACGAAGTCAAGTTTGGAAACAGCAGAATTCCATCATCAAATCGGCTACATCCAGATCAACACTACTGCCATATTACCGCCCTATCACTACCACACCACCATGCCACCCCCCGACAACCCCACTCTCCCCTCCCCACCCTTCTACACCCACATCCCCAACATCAACAACCTGCGCCTAGCCACCCACTCCCTCACCACCACCTCCGGCGCCACCCTCCGCCCAGGCATCCTCTTCCGCAGCGCCGAAGTCGCCAAACTCGACACCGCCGGCTGGACAGCCGTCCGCGATATCGGCGTAGGCCACGTCTTCGACCTCCGCAGCTTACCCGAAGTAGAAAAGGGCTGGGCTGGTATTGTTGGAGATGATGTAAATGGGAAGGGTAAGGGAGAGGGAGAGGGAGACTTTAGGCCGGGATGGATTCAGGCTATGGAGGAGGCGGGGGTGGAGAGGACGTGGACGCCGGTGTTTGAGGAGAGGGATTATAGTCCTGAGAGGTTGGTAAGTTCTGACTGTACGAAGTGCATATGAGATGTGAGACATAAACTGACTTTGTACCTCTCTACCTCTGCAGGCGGAGCGGTATGCGAATTACATGGATGAGGATGTCAAGGGGTTTGTGGAGGCTTATGCTAGTATTCTGACGGATGGAGGGGGCGCTTATGGGACTATTCTGCGGTATCTGGCCAGCTTGAGCAGTAATAGCGACGGAGGGAAAGAAGGACAGAAACTCGGTGCACTCATCCACTGCACAGCCGGCAAAGACCGCACAGGAATCTTCTTCGGCCTCCTCTTCGATTTCCTCGGTGTCCCGCGCGAGCAGATCGCAGAGGAGTACCAACTCACTGAACTCGGCCTCCGCCCTGCGAGAGACGAGATTGTGGAGCGCTTGTTGACGAGTCCGGGGTTTAGGAAGTATATGCTTGCGCAGTCTACCGGAAAACCTCTATCGAAAGAAGAGATGGCGCAGATCATACAAGGACGGGATAGCGAGGGTTCTGATACCTCGGAGTTCCCGCCTGAGATCCTGGAGAAGGGGAGACAAGCTGCGTTGCGCATGGTGGGGTCGAGGAAGGAGAGTATGCTGGCGAGTTTGGATATGTTGGATGAGCGGTTTGGGGGCGCGGAACGGTATATGAGAGTGTATTGTGGGCTTGGGGATAAGGAGTTGGAGGCTTTGAGGAGGAATTTGGTGGTTGAGAGGGCGGAGTGACTAGGTGGGGGTGTGGATAGGAAGGAGGTCGAGAGGAGTCGGAGGGAGAGGTTGTAGCAGCGAGTTGGGTATCCTCAACGCCTCCCGCGCTCTCTCTTGGGCTCCGTTATGATAGAACGCGAGAAGGGTGGTGGCAGTGCACTAGCGTCTATACACTAAACCGCTTGCAGACGGGTTGGTGTAGGCAACAGTCCATTATAACATGAACGCCATCGCGACAACGCCATTACTACACATTATCGACGAAGAAAAGCAAACCACTTTGATCCAGACTGCTCTCCGGCTTTATGCGCTCAGCATGCCCACTAGAAGAACTCGACCCACTATTGTACCGAAGGGGCCGTGGACCACGTCCTTAAATTGGGACCTATGCGCGACACCCCAGGGCGAGATACGCGTACCTTTTCGACACCATGTTCGTCCAGGAGAAAGAATGAAGTCTTCCTTGCTCGACGGTTTCAAACACTTTCCACGCCTGCCATTGGAGCTTCAGCACCACATCATATCGTTCTGCGACAACGCAACGCTCTTCCAGCTTATGCGCGCATCACCTGCCACGCGCGAAGAAGCCGCCAAAACTTTCTGGTCTGATCCTGCCGTCGAGTATCGCATACGTGGCTCTTGGTTACTTTCTGGCGGATATACGGGCCTTACACATGCCGCTCTCGAGGCTCACAAGTACATGCAATACATCCTCATCGAGCTTGGGAGTGCGAACAAGACTCTCTACGATGACTGGGTGGATCTCATACGGCATCGTACCAAGTTTTCAGATGAGGAGGAAGCGAGACTCTACGCAGAGAACAAGATAGCTACGTTCTGGCAGGTACTACGCGAGTGGTGTCCCCATGTCGTGAGCGTCGTGCTTCATACAGACTATGTTCTCGAATCCGGCACTGAGCCTCCCAGATTTCTCACGCAGCTGGCAGAAGCATGTCCGAATGGGATTAATGTACGCGCGTCGAACTTTCATGTTGACCACAATGGTCAGAAGCGTCCCAGGTCGAGGAAGCGTTGGCAGGCGATCAAGTCTATCAATAAGCCAGTAACTTGGAAGCTGATCGAGCCCCTGGATACACCGCGTCTTGTAATTCCCCCATTTCAGGAACGATCTGGACCCGCGGGTAAATGGTGGCGTTGGATGCACGACGAGACTGAGCCCTACGACTACATGTATCACGCGCGAAAACTTCTCCTCATTCAAGCAACCGAAGCATACTATCTGCATACTCTCAAAGCCCCTTGTATATGTCCAGTGACTGGATGTGGTCTGCAATTCGAGGAACCGGGCCAATGGACTGTGCACTACGTATCAGCCAACGACGAACTGCATGATAAATTTACATTATCCCCGCCTCCATGCGCGACGCTTCAGAAAGCGTTTGCAGATCACAACGCACGTTTAATTCGCATGCGAGAGGTACAAAAAGAGAGACTGATCGAGATGCGCGGCGAGTGGGGTGAAGAGGGAAGTGAGCAGCGGAAGCACATCACACAGCAGTTCCTCCAGCAATTACGCGATGATCCATTGTGCGCCATTAGACAGGAACCAGAGAAGAGCCATTTTTGGCATCGGTATCAGATCATGATGAATGAGAAAGACCGTTGGCACTGGTTCTGACGACTTTCAGCCTACGCCCTTTTGTTTCGACTGAACAGATGCGCGAGCATATAGTATAAGAGTTATTCATCTTTGATCTTCTCCTTTGTTTCTATTCCAAGTGCCATACAAAAGACATCCGGAGCGCTGCGCACGTCACGAATGCGGAGAAGGACTGGAAGAGACGTACGGGTAAGGGTGGAACGTATAATCATGTATACCAAGTAGCCTCCGGGATCTCATCCAACAACTCAAACCTCCCCAACTCGCGGTTCTTATACGCGACAGGATCATGCAACGTATGCGTCCTCACGTCCCTCCAAAATCGATCCAAGCCCACTCTTGCACTTGTCGCTTTCGCGCCTGTGACCTCAAACACCCCAGAAGTAACCCGCAGGCTAGTGTCTGTTGTAACGACCTTGACGCTTGCAACCCATTCCGCCAGCTCACCCCGCTCTCGCGCAGTCAGCTTCCCGCGGGTATCCAAATCGCCTGCATATTCATTGAGGACGGCATCGACTTCCTGGCCTGCGCGGTCTGCCAGAGCGGATGCGGCGCGGAGGTGGGCATGGAAGTTGCCGTAGCGTTCGAGGATGTAGAATTCGTCTGTGGCTTTCTCCTTGTTCTAGTCGTGCGTTAGCGATTGTTACTGGTTTAGTGGATGCGACTGTGCTTACGTCGCCACCGAATGGCCAAGCTCGAGTTCCCTTCACTGTGTACTTCGCTGCATATTGCTGTGCGCCGAGCGCGATACCCAGATAGAAGTTGCTGAAGACGAGCTGGATGGTGGGGAGCAGCAGCGTCGCGAACGGTATCTGCAGCGCGCGGGGGTCTGGTTCTTTCTTCTCTATGTTCCAACCCAACGCATCCTCCCAAGGTACGCGCACATCGGAGATCTTCACACTACCCGACTCTGTCAAGCGGAGGCCGATGTTGTTCCAATCATGTCCGAATTGAATGCCTGGTTGATCCGTCTTTGCAAAGGCAAAGATGTGGTTCTGCGTGCCTTCGTAAACACCCTCGAGAACCGTGAGATCCGAGACGACACCGCCTGTATTGAAGAACTTGAACCCGTTGAAGACGAGGTTGTCGCCGTCGGACTTGATAGCTAGGTCGCTGTCTCGGGGATTGACCGCGCCGCCGATGAAGTAGTTGTTCGAGATGATGAGCTTTTGAATGCGATCGGCTTGTTCGGGGGAGCCAACAATGTTCGCTGTCGTTGACCAGAGGAGGTGGTAGCCGAGTAGCATGCCAATTGATCTAAAACAGTCAGTCTGCATTCGCACACGGGAACAGAAGGGTCCTACCCGTCTGCTTCGGCGACTTTCCGAATCGCCTTGTAGCCCACACTCCAAGGCTGACTACCGCCACCATACTGCTTCGGACCAAGGAGCTTCAGCAATCCGGAGTGCTTCAGTAGCGCAACCTCCGCACGTGGAGACTTGTTCTCTTGATCTCTTACGACGGCATCGACGGCGAGGACATCGGCGACATCTTCAGCACGCTGTAGCCAGCCTGCTTCGTCTTCCGGGATGGATGACCACTTCGACTCATACTCGGCATAGACAGCCGGGTCTCTGAAGTCGACTTGCTGCGCATTTCCGGACTCTCTGTTAGTTCCATTGGTGATGGCCATCGTGTGGATGCATAGAATGATGACATCTCTACGTTTCGATCAAATCTTATATCTAAACCCCGCAGAACATGTCGCCGAATGATGAGAATCGCGCAGAGTATTGCGTGCTATTTGTTCATTCTCGAGCCATTCGCATTGGTGCGCATGAACACCTGAGTCGGTTTACGATGGCGATGAGAACGACCGGAGCGACAGGGATATATCGCCGGCATGGTGAGTGTTGAGCTGTCTGCCGGCAGGCAGGTATAGCTAGCAATAATCCGATACCGTGGGGGTAGATCGCACGATGCAGTGTCGATACAACATGTGAATGTGAGTGTGGGAGAGTGAGACGCGTCGGCGGACCGCACTTGCATCATCCCATTTGTGCTAACCCAGAACGAGACTAGTCTGCAACCCGTGCGCGTCCGAACGCGAACCGCGTTCGCCATCTAACCCCTCAATCGCATCATCCCCAACTCCGCACTTCCACGGCCCATCACCACGTTCAGTTGATTGCGCACCTCCGATGTGCCTCCTGTTACGCGCGGGCAAAATTCCTGTCCACTGGAGCTCATTCCGCCTTTCTCTTCGCGAAGAACCGGGAAGTGTCGCCAAGTGGTAGCTCAACGATGGAGTCTTTGAGCAGCAACGCGAACGTCAGATACCACCCGGTCAATCCAGCCAAGAAACAGAACGCACCACCGCCTTTTTTGAGAGCGACGGACGCAGTCGGATGTCCATCTGCCGTGGCAAAATAAGACGCCGACACTAGCAAGAATCCTAGCTCGACACAAAAGAAGATGATGATGTAGACCAGGTTTGTCGGCAAAGAGGCCACGAGGAAGACCAAGGCGAAGACTGTCCACACTGTCACACGATTAGTTGCGCTCTCACTACTTGTCGGTCTTGAGCAACTCACTAATCATGAAGAGGCCGAGAGCGTTGTTGTATTGTTTCACATCGCCTCCATATGCTGCCTCAACCCCGAAGGCAGGGGTCAAGATCGCACCAAAGCCGGCGTAGAACAGACCAAAAGCGCTGAAGACAGTATACGCGAAACCATTACCGACAGAGAGCTCCCACTGTGCAGTAACTACCAGGCCTAGTATCCAGTTAGCCAAACCATACATATATCGTACATTCCGGCAACTTGCCGAATGCCGCCGCAAAGAAGAAGTTGGCGACGAAGACATTGTTTGTGGTTACTCCTCGCCATTCCATGAGACTGAGCGACAGCGTGGTCAAAGTCGTCGCGAAGACTCCGATTGGAAGCGCCGTCTTGACACGTTAGCAACAAGGTATAATGCAGTGGAAGCATCACTGACTCCAGCACCCAAGGTCTTTGGAGCTGCGACTGGCACGGTTGGAGACTCATGGGTGAGTTGCTTCTCGACATCGGTCGTGCCAGCGCTGCTCTTGCTGTTCAAATCGGTCGTTGAGAATTTGGACATGATTGTCTGCGCGCCAGGAATCCTTCACGCAAGCGACTGGCTTTGATCCACAGGCTTTTGTACTGAATCGTCATAAGCTCCCATGTTGAGAAAAACCATATCGACGCGGGACGACGGCGGTGTCGGTACGTTGCCATTGCGATCACGCGATAGTAGATTACGTGCTTCGGCGTTACTTTCAGTGCTCAGTAGCATTCACATGGTCGTGTCGGGACAATAACATAGTATTGCAGTCGAGGCTGACCAGTCTACAATGATCTTCCTCCACGGTGTGGGATACGCGATGCTTGACTATCTCGCTGCAAGTTACGGCACATCACGTCTTCCGAGGGTTGGATTGCCCCATTGATCAATGGGCCGAAGCTTGATAGCAACCAATTAAGGAAGCCGGACTCGCAAAGCTGCCGCGCAATCCTGCACCACAGCTAGTCATATGCGAAGCCGAGATGGTTGAGCTGCGGCGTAGAAGTCAACCAGCTGGCTTAGGCAAGATCGGCGGCAAGCCGGCTGCAATTAAGGTGAATACCATTTAGTCTACGTACCGAGTTTAATCTGCGGCAAACCCGCAAATCCCGCTCTCGGATGAGTGCATATCACGCAATCCCCGCTTATTATGCGCATATCTGATCTGCAATTGAACATCAGGTCCACGTTGCGGGGCATCAGACTGCAGGTTACTCAACTCGCATACCTTTGTATTGTCAAACTTGCATTGTATTGTATCCCTCCAGACAACCATGACGCCGCGCAAGAGACAAAAGACGGGTAAGGTTATCGGATACTAGGGCTATCAAGTACGTGCAAGGCTGATAACATGTTTAGCAGCAGCACAGAACGGAACGACGAATGGCGCCAATGGACACCTGAACAAGACAGCGGAAGATTACACGCCCGCGAAGCAACTGGACCTGAACCAAGATCCCGATCGCCTATTGTTCGCGTAAGCAGTGTCCCAAGGACAGCCATTTACCACATCTTCTAACCTTGCGACAAAATAGTTACTGGGTCCCGAACGTCTCAGGCGGTCTCGTTGTCTCAAAGATAGCGCAACGGACGAGTTGGGACCTTGCATCCAACGTACGATACGCCCGGACGGCCGAATCATACGGCTTCGAGTATGCGCTCACCCAGATTCGTTTCACCGCTTCGTATGGAGCCGACAACCAGCACGAAAGTGTATCATTGTCTCAGGCGTTGTTGCACAACACCGAGCGCATCAAGCTCATCGCTGCAATACTTCCCGGCCCATGGAACCCCACTGTCGCAGCAAAGCAGATCGCAAGCATCGACAACTATACCAACGGGCGCATTGCGGTAAACATAGTTTCAGGCTGGAACAAGAGTGAATTCCAGAGTATCGGGCAATGGTGGCTCGAGCATGCCGAACGGTACCGACGCTCCAATGAGTTCATCCGCGCACTCAAGGGCATCTGGACTGCTGGTGACGAGGGCTTCACTTTCGGTGGCGACTTCTACCAGTTCCGGAACTACAAATTATCGCCCAAACCACTCCAGAAGCCGCACCCGGAGATCTTCCAAGGCGGCAATAGCGACGACGCCCGGAACAATGGCGCCGAAGTCAGCGATTGGTACTTCATGAACGGGAACGATCTGGATGGCTTCCGCGAGCAGATTGAGGATGTGAAAGAGCGTGCGCGAAAAGCTGGGCGCGAAGGCAAAGTCAAATTTGCGGTGAATGGCTTCGTCATCATCCGTGAGACAGAAGAAGAAGCTATCCGCGTGCTACAAGAGATTCAAGGGAAAGCCGACACGGAGGCTGTTGAGGCGTTTCGAGAAGCTGTACAACAGGCTGGTGCCAGCACGGGTAACAAGAAGGGCATGTGGGCGGACAGCAAGCTAGAAGATCTGGTGCAGTACAACGACGGCTTCAAGACCAAGTTGATTGGTACTAAAGAGCAGATCGCCGATCGGATATTGCTGTTGAAGAGTCTCGGCGTTGATTTGGTGCTGACGGCTTACTTGCACTACGAGGAGGACATCGAGCGCTTCGGCAAGGAAGTTTTGCCGTTAGTAAGGAAGTTGGAAGCTGCAGGCAGAGGCAGGGATGTGGACGACGAGATCAAGCGTACGGGTGATATTTATCGGAAGTCGTAGCTGTTATGCAGCGATGTGAGCTATCTGCAATCTCTATCTACCCGTCTGACGACCACTATGCATGCACTCATGCGAGGTTGGGAAACGTCTGAGCCGCCGAAATGCTCAATGCCTTTGCCGATCCCTGCTTCACTACTCCAAACGTATCCTCATTCGTCCAGAACTCAAAGTCCGCAGCACCTTTGCCCGGCTTGTTGATCTGCCAAATCATCCACGGTACCTTGAGCCCATTGAAAATGTCGATATGCTGACCCACCACGCTCGCCTTGTTGGAACCAGACGCACCGAACTCCTCGAACAGCACGAGCTTCTTGGCAGCTTGGGCGTGCTGCAGTGCGATCGGCGCTTTGTTGCGCCATTCGGATACGCCGCTGTAAGAGTGGATGTCGACGAGATCGAGGGTGGCGCAGTTCCAGTTCTCGGAGATGTCGGAATTGGGGAATTCGTTTCCGCCGCCTAAACATGAATAGTCAGTATCCTTGTCTCTGAGCACAGAGCAGTGCGAATTGGGATGTAGACCACGTACCTGTCGAGATAAGAATGGCGCTGCTGCCCATGATGCTTCGCATCTTCTTGCTTCGATTGCACCACCATTCTGGTGCAGGCGCAATGTTGTTGCGCAAATGTCCCTGTCCCTCGTTCTGGATGTTGAACGAGAAGATATAGTCTGACAGATCCTTCCACTGCGGTGAACCTGAGAGCAGCGAGTTCCTGTGTTGAAGGATATGTGTAAGGCGGTTGTCGAAGTCGAAGATGGGCGATGCGTCCTGGTAGAAGAACGTCACGTCATTCTGAGCAGCGGGCGTCCTCGCGCAATCGATCGCGGGAAGTTTGTACTTTGACACGTATGTATCTAGGTCGAACATGTTAGTGTCACCGATAACTTCAGTCCGATCTTGAAGGGAACATACCATTACCCCAGCAACCCAGTTGATAGCGGTCATGCATAGCGATGATAAGCTTGATACCTCGGTCATGCGCCTCGACCATCAGCTGATCAATAGCCTTCAGCTGAGTGTCGTCGTAGGTGCCGACCTGCTGTGGCTCGATGTCGGGCATGTTGACTGAGCCAGTGTCCTTGTTGTTCTGAGGCGTAGGCGAGATGAAGATACGCAGCGTCTTGAGCTTCGCATCTTTGACCGCGTCAAGTACAGCTAAGCGATCAGCCCTGTTGATGGTGAGTATATGCACGAAATTTTTTAAGGTGCGCGTACTTTTGGTAGGCATGAAGGAAATACGAGTTGACCCCAGCCCAACTCGAGGAGATGGCTCTCTCATCGAGTGGTTGCGCCGCTGAGAAAGGTGCGCTCAAGGCGAGGGGAAGAAGGAACTTGAGAAGTTGCATGTTGATTGTATTCAATGCGTGAAGATGCTTTGATGGCCGTCCTTCTTTCGAGGAATCTACTCTTTCTTATGCTTCTTCGTTTCGTGCCTTTAACCTAGCGTCTTGAAAATTCGATGTGTGACCTTCTGTCTTTGGACTTGGTCTGCAACCTTCTCTTTGCTACATGCTGTCTTCCACCTTGCATTGTTCGCGCACTCCGACTGTTTCTTCTCCACTCTATGTCGAAACCCAATCTTGTAGTGAGAGGAAATCTAGAACTAACGCCCAGAAAGGTTGTGCGAGTACGGAGCAGCCAGAACCGTTCCAGGCAGGGTTAGTACATCTGTACTCCGTACCAGCACGCTAGCCTTGTCAAGGACGGAACCCGATCGCCCGTGTCACATCTAGATTAGTGGATATACAAGGCGTGTTGTAAAACAATCCCTAGCAATCTTGGAGTGACGTTCTTTAGTGTAGAGCGCATTGAATTGCGGGTAGGCCCAGAACCCGAATGTATGATCGACATTTGAGGGGAAGTGAATAGCGTATTGATGTCCACGGCTGTCGGTTGTCGGAAGTACATGTAGTGCCGAGGTATCGGAGTCTCCGAGCCTTCTTGTTCCCAGAGCCGCGGGGGCACTGAACAAAATTGCTCTCTGTTGAACGTACGATCTCTGACTTGAATATGACCGTTGTATAGCTTCCAATCCGAGTTAGTCGTGCTGCAGCGCAGTCGCAATATGGTGCTAGAATCCTGCCAGCAATCGAACCCAAAGTCCAGTTGATGTCTTCCAACCGAACGTAGACTGGTGCACCGACGATGAACTTTCTGGTTAGCTCAATTGGCTGTAGCTCCTCCGAGCATGTCAGGGCCCCGACGATGGCTGGCCATGCTGAGCAGCCGTGCATCAGCGACGGATCGTGATCATGCAGTGGTCCCACTGGCTTCACAGCGTCCCATGTCCCACGCAACAGGTCCGTATGTGCGTATCGATGTTTTGGTCATATGGACCAAGCGCTGTAAACATTGCGACGTTGTGGTTGGGCCACCTGTATGCAATTCAAACTACATGATGCCTGTAGGGTCCAAGGCAGATGCCGGAAGTTGCTCGTCGCCCTCTGAACATGTGTACGGATACATCAGAGACTGCCAGAGTATCCTGATTGCTATGAGACCGGCCAGCAGCTCGACAACGCACATTGTTGCGTCAAGCTCGTGAGGGATGAACGTTCGAAACCGCGGCGACCACGAGGAAGCCGAATGATATAGCAAGAGCGCATCGACGGAGGAGATGACGGGAATATGACTGCAGTCTTAATCAAGACGGATTCATCAACGAAACAGGGACTCGCAGACGCCGGCACCTTGAAGAGAGGCGAACGTTTAAGCAGCGCGTTACGGGTGGACGTTGAGGGCATCGTGAGGGTGGAAGCGTGCAGGTGAGTGGGCCGAGGCGCGTTTGTGACTTAATTCCGGGCAGGCTGCAAGCTTATCTCCGGGCGGCTGCATCGCCGTAGCCGTCCACTCCCTCCTCCATGTGACTAACAGCACCGTACCTATTGCCACCACACGCCGCACAGCAATCGAATACACGCAGCCATCGAGATGCCACACATTCCCACGCGTCGCGAATATCTGTCATGACATACGCGCACACACGAGCACGCCCAACCGCGACCGCCCGCACGGCAAGCTGTGCGCGCACTCTTGCGACGGCGAATTGACGACGCAAAAAAAAGAGCATCTCTCACCCGAGATACAATACACCTAGTCAGCCGCTTCGTAGCACTCGTGCGCTTCCAGTATCACACCCATCCGCAGAGAGCTGTTAGTCCGATCTAGGCCGTCCAGCCAGCAAATCGGTCGATACATCGTCGTGAACACATATTCAACCAGCGCCGTCCTAAAGGAAAGTTCGGCCTGACATATAAGCAGGCCATATTCATATGGAGCGTTACTTCGGCTATGATGCTTTCGAAACGCGTCGGGACATGATTTGAAGGGCATTGCAGGTGATGCCCACCACCTATTGTCGCTCGTCTTCGTCGCATTGCGCGAGACAAATACGTCATGCACTCCACCAGTCGAATCGAGAAGTCGGAGACATAGAGATGTGATGGCATGCTTCGCTGACTTGGGTGATCGATACTTCGGTAGGGGAGCTCGCGCATTCGCATCGAGATGGCAATGTTCTGCGCAGCTCAGAACGAGAACATCACATGGATCATGATCTGCAGTGTTTGAATGATCCAGAAAAACATTATCATTATAGCTACGGGTCGAACCGACTGCAAGATCCCTCACTATCTAGTCTACCGCTCTTCTAAACGGTTCCCTCCTTGTCCAAGTCGGCAGTGGCAGTGCCGACCTGGCTGAGGGCAATAGGGATAGGTCCGTTCATCCTGACCATGAAGTCGCCCACCATGGAAGGTCTAAAGTTATGTCAGCACGCGTTCTCCCCACCCGATAATCGCTCGAATAACTCACCCGTTAAGAACGTGGGCCAATCTCAGATAGATGCCGCCCTCCACCTGCAAGACGCGGAATGTGTATGAAGAGTCGTCGCAGCTGTAGACGGTATCGACCTCGAAGCTAGGGTTGGCAGCGCAGTGGACGTTGTCAACGTGTTGAGAGTGAACGTAGAACGCGAAATGCGTCTCGTCGCGACCGCCATAGACGGCGTTGTTAACGGTAACGGTCTCGAATTGGTCCTCCTGGACGGCGGTGGGTGCGGCGGCGGCAAGGCCGGCGAAAAGGGCAACGATGGCGAACTTCATGGTTGATTCGTGGGTTGGTAGCGAAAGTGGGTGAAGTGAGTGAAGCTTGTTGTGAAGAGATGGATGGATGCCGTGTAGTGAGTACTTGACGGAAGCCCTTCAACGTTTATATACGCATGTCAGTCTACGTCCGCCGTTCACTAGTGCAGTGACAAGCTTTCGTCTATTTTGGGGGGCGTCAATGCGGCTGATGCTTGTGCTTTCGACATATCTATACGGGGTTACATTGGAGATTGGCGACAAGGAAGTGCACCGCTGAACGGACGTCAGACTGAAGACAATTTATTAGTAGCGGCGCTATACCTCGCTTTCGTGTAGTCTTTCCTTGCAGACTTGTGGGGAAGAAGCCTTCAAGCTAACCGGCGCGAGTAGGTTTGTTTACCGCCTCGTTTCTCGAAGCCTTGCAGTCATGCCACACCGCAAACGTCCATCACCCACCGCGATTTCGATGATCATCTCGTAAATATATCGGGCGAGCCACATTATCTCGTATCGTGGAGCAGCGGTGCGAAGGGAGCCAGCGTCGGCCCTTCGCTGCACATGCGCAGAGTCTTGCTATCAATTCCAGAGTCTCGCATCAAGGCGTATCCAGCACATGTTCCGTGAGAGATTCCTGGTAGAAAGAATCATTTTACAGCTCGACAAGCCGTCGACCTCGCCTTCTAGAAGGTTTCGTACGTGTTCTGCGAAGCTCACGTGAGTACCCGCCGGCTTTTCATCCGTAGTACGGGTTCTTTACCCGTAGTGCAACAGCTCCCGGTCGTTGAATAGCATGCAATGTCCGCGCTGACCCGATAATGCTAAACTTAGCATGTCAATACGGGGAATTCATGCGCATCTCCTAGGAGCACCCGAAATATCGGCGCGACTGCCCGTTCTGTGGTGGATTCATGCGACGAAGCCGAACGCGAAGATGTTTGTGACCAGCGCGCAGCAGCTTTACGTCAGTGGCAGCGATGTTATCAACTTCCAGATTGGAAAGAGCTGCTCCGCTATGGAGGATTGCTTTCCGATCTTTCGTCGTTGGTGTCTTTGTCACTTGAGCAACACGGTCTGGATGTGAGTTCACTCGGCCGATGTTGTAACCACAGCCCTGGTCACTAAAGCGCCGAATACCATCACATCGGTCAATCTGCAGGTTCGCCTTTCTCCATGTGCTTCAAGTGCTTCTTCCCGCGGTCCATTCTATCGCACGATACTGTCCCGCATCCTCGAAGCCGTCATTCTCTTGATGCAAACGAATGACGACTATCCAGATGTCCCAGGGATTCGTTACGGAAGCCCTCATGGGAATCTACCAACGCGCAGGGTATTGATGCTTCGCATCATCAAACCACAACTCTCGTCTTCCTCCAATCGCGGGACACAACGATACGGAATCCGAGTAGGTACACTTTCGGCTTTGGACAGTGCGAGACACGACTCCTTGAACTTCTCACGATAGCACCGCGCAGTCTTTTGTTACGGCTTTCCCGACGAGCTGCGAAGTCGCCCTGATAGCTGAAGCATGATCTATTCCTGTGAGCTCTTGAGTCCTCGAAGCCAAATCTCACATGAGCTCGTTCATTAACCACGGTGGCGACTTGCTGGACGTCAGGCGTGAGCACCTCCGCGGGCGCATTCCAGAAAGAGCCTCGCCCCAAACCGCCGATTTGACCGATCTACACCATGAAGTCTGTTTCGGCATGAAGTTCGTTGTGGAGTTGTCAATAGTGATGCAATATACAAGGTGACATCGTCGGAACTTGACCTGTTACGTGAGGATTGAAGTGGAGTGACGTTCGGTGCGGAGGATAGCTGGTGTCGCTTGACTGCCTCGGCGGTGCCGCCAAGCCTTCTCGGGTTGTGGGGGCGCGCCCATCGCGATACCACCAACTCCATTCTCACAGCGTCGCCTCCGCCCCCAGAATTGCGTGCGATCCTCCTTTTCGCATCGCGCCTTAATGCCGCTCCGAGCGTACGTCTCGCGCGGCCCCGGCGCACAATCGTCCACCGCCGCGCATCCTCCAATCGACTCCTCGTAGCACCGTGAATGAGGGCGACATCGTCTCTCACGATCTTTCCATCATCGTACCGCTCAAGTAGAGGCACGATACTTGTATGCCCATCGCTGTCGCCGTCCGGTATAACGTAAGCGTCCCCGCCCGGGACTTGCTTCAGGGCCCAACTAACGTATCGCAGTAGCAGATGTTTACTCATCAACGCATTCCCCATCCTTACGCTAGTCCCCGCATCTCCAATCC